AGTCAACGATGCACTTAACTCACAAAACAAGCCTGAAGATTTGTACTATTGAGCATCGTCAACTTAACCACTAGAAATCATCGTATGGATACACGTTAAGTTTTCTGATATGGAGTTGGGATTATTACCACCGCTTAATCAACAACAAGTAGAGTTTGTATTTGAGACTGGCGAAAAACATGTAGGTACGATACAAAAAATTCAAACAAAAGGCCCGAAAAGAAAGAAGAAAAATAATTTAGCACTGTTTGTCGTAGTTATCGGACGCAAGAGAAGAGAAGAAAACGGTCGGATTGCAGCAAGAAGTATGGGCACTGGAGATCCAATGAGATAATGAAGGTAGAGAAGTGAGGACATTACATCTAGGGTTAGAGTTGGTCAAAGGTTTGCGAAAGGAGGAGTTTTTAGGTTGTCAACTTCTCATGTCACAAAATCGAAAATTATAACCTCTTGTTCAATAACTTAAGGTCACCCTCAGTAATTGTTGGGGATGACTCGCCAACATTCACTTATCTCATGCGCAATAAAACAGAGTTTTGTGAGCATTCTCACATTCTCACCTTAAGAAAATTTACGAAGATCATCCTCATACGACTAAAAAATAGTAATGTCACAATGTCATATGTCCAACCACTGAAGAGACGAACAAGGATGATAGCCTTCGAGATAAGGGTGTTTGTCATCAAGTAATCTTACAACCGTAAATATTATTTCTACTCCACATATAGCAGTAATAGTCCGCAAAAACTCGCAATGATGTAGGAGCCCGAGACTAAGGCATGAAAAATAGCACGAGCTCGAGATTGAGGCATGAAAAATAGCACAAGCCACAGATGGAGACATGAAAAATAGCATGCATTGATCCAAAGTTGTGTAGCACACCGAACATGTTCGGAGCTTTTCCGAATGTCCGAGCATGTTCGGGTGCTCAGCCAAATGCCTCCTGGACGTGTTCGGCCGAACATATTAAAAAGAAAAAAAAAACTTTTTTTTTTTTTTTTGATTTTTAACTCGAGCTTGGTTACGAATTTGAGCATACCTCTCAGGCAAAAGTTGTTCGTATTATTATGTTTCATAATATACATGTTCTTTTTTATATATATATTTTTATGTTCGCGTCCGGAAAGTTTCAACGCTCGTTCGTGCTCGGTCCCGAACGTTCGGGTTCGGTCATCAATCCAAAGTATTATACATGCATGTGAATGTGGTGCACAAGAGCAAACAAAAATGTCAAAAAGTGACAATCTTTCTCTAAAAAATGGTCTCCATATTCACGGCGATGGTGAAAGTTGATGATAGGAGTGGGGTGGAGGAGATGTTGATGAAGCAAAATCAGGCGAGGAAGGGTGCCTTGAAAATTCATCTTGGCAAAACCTCGACTCTTAAGGATCGCTACCATAAGGATACGTAGCAAATGAAGCAGAAGAAACACGATAATGATAATACACATTGTGAATGATTGGATTAATTCAAAGTTGTGGCTTTGTCAAAAATGACACAAACAACGCCAACACCGTTTGGAACCACGCTCGATGATACAGAGTGAACGCAATAGAGGGAAACTAGTTTTTCCTTGACGGGCAAATTTCCCCGCCTTCACTAGGTCCCTTAATTTACGGTGCTTCATGGACCCAACATTTCCATTCTGCGCCTCATGACCTGAGTGAGCGAGGCAAAATGACAATGGTAGAAAATCGATTTTTAATCTTTCCAATTCTTTTTTTAATATACTGTATCCTCCACGAGAGTAAAGCCTCATATGCTATGCATTCCGTATTCCACTTGTACAATCCACTTATTCCTTTTCTCTCCTAGGCTAGTTCAGGAAGAACAACCCTTTCGTTAAAATGAACTTTCATACTTTTTATTTTTTTTTTAATGAAATCGAAACTGATTCATTTGACCTAAAAAATGTCAAATTGTTAGGTCCTAAGGGTCCGGCGTTCTGAAAATGCTAGATGGTTCCAAAGAACTACCAAGTGGAGCTGAAGACACCCGTTTATACATCCATTTTAGTGAGCACAGATGTTCAAAAGAACCACCAAGTGCACCACCTCCCGAGAGAGAAAAAGAAGAGGAAGAAGAAAACAAATGTTCCAAAGAGACACCAAATACACCACATTTTCAGGATCCATCCATTGAGGATGGTTGTGTTGATGATGATGATGATGATGATGATGATGATGACAGTGACACGGAGACACCATTCTCAATGAAGAAGAAGAAAAGGCGGCACTCTTTTTTGGTTACAGTGAGGGCAGCCTTGAGATATCATCGTCGAACGGACCGGTCCCAGGTAATTCAGAAATTAACTCATGTAGTTGTGCATCGGCTTTCAAACTCAGATCCTTGTTCAAACAGATCGTGCGTGTGCCTGCAGAGCTAGGGGCGATGGCCTTGAGGTATTAAAATTGGACTAACCAGCCCAGGTAAATTCAATCTTGTGTCTAATCTGACACCGGTCGGGCGGTCTTTTCAGCCCAGGGTGGCCTTTATTTATTGCCTTCAGGGAGCCCCCAAAGGGGG